GCGGAGCGGAGCGGCGCGCCCGGCTGCCACCGCGGGGCCGGGACCGGGGCGGGATGCGGCGTTCCGGGGCGGTGGGCGCGGGGCGCTGAGCCCGGCGGCGGCCCTGGGGCGATGCGCCGCTCGAGCACGGACGAGTCCACGTACCGGCGCAGCCCGTCGCCGGAGGGCAAGGAGCCGGGCTTCGCGCGCGGCGGCCCCTTCCGGCGCTACAGCAGCCTGCACGGGCGCGCGGGCGCCGGGGACGCCGGGGACGCCGGGGACGGGGGCCCCTTCTTCGGCCTGCACGCCAATCCCGGCCCCAAGGCGGCCCAGGCGCGCTACACGTCGCCCAAGGGCAACAAGTACGTGGTCTTCTACCTGGACCTCTCCTTCATCTTCCTCCTAGAGCTGAAGCGCTGCAGCATGGCGCGCGGCTGCCTCCAGGGCGTCAAGTTCCTCATGTTCGCCTTCAACCTGCTCTTCTGGGTGAGTGGCGGCGGGGCCGGGGGCCGGGGGCCGGGGGGGCGAACCTAGAGTCGCTGCTCCAGCAGGGATGGGGCGCCAGACAGCAGGACGTAGACGGGCGGGGGGTGTGTGTGTGCCCAGGGTCGCTGCCCCAGCTGCGGGCCAGGGTGGCCCGGCCCGTGGGGCGGGTTTCCGGTACCGCGAGGCTCTGGCCGAGGCTCTGCCCACGGGGCCGCTGCCCCGCGTCCTCATCCCTCTCTCCCTGAGACCGGCCGTGTCCCGCACCTGCGCGCCCGACAGGGCGGCAAGGCACTGCGCCCGCCTGCGCGGGGGTTCGAATGCTGGTCGTGGCCGGCAGTGCGCTGAAACTCTGGTGCTCCGCCTCCATCCCCTCCCCTCCCTCCGCGCAGCCGGCTCCTTTCTTCGACGCCCCCCCCAAGTGGACTGACCTATAGGCCCAAGGACCGTGGTTCTCAAGGGGCTGTTGGGGGCCAGGTGGTCCCCTCCAGTCTCTGGAGGCGTTGTGGAAAGGGAGAGGGGGTGTGTGTGCACCGGTGAGTTCTCTGGCTGGGCCTGACACTGAGCAGGATGTTGGGCCCCCAGGTGTGCTGGGGAGGTGTCTCGTCTCCCTGCTGGCTCTTCTTCCTACATGGTGCGAATGTGTGTGCGCGCATGGGTGTGTCGGGGTGCGGAGCGCCCATAACTTTTGCTGAGGTGGGTTGGGTTTGCTCAGACAGGATGTGTGTGTCCAGGGTCAAAGGTGGCCCCTTCGTCCTCCAGACGAGGGTGGGTGGGTGGGGAGGATGATGGAGATGACAGAATTGCCACCCGGCCCCGGCCCCAGACCTGCAGGGAGCGTGGCAGGTCCCAGCGGTGGCTGCTGTCCCACTGGAGCAGGTCGGAACAAGCTGGGGTTCCACTGGCTGGGCTAGGGCAGGCTTGGTGGAGAAAGGATGCCAAGGTCACTCCCTGCTCCATCGTTAATTCTCGAGCCAATCCTTCCACAACTAGGAGTGAGGGGGTGGGGCCTGGGCTCTGGACCCCACAAGGAGGCTGTGCTTTGCATGCTCATTTGCATGCAGTTCAGTTAAGGCCAGATGCCCAGAATCCTGCTCCTCCCTTCCTTCTTAGGCTGTACTTTTCTCTTCCCAGCTTGTGGTGGGGGTAGTCAGGGGGCCCCAGGAGGGGCAGCCAGCCTGGGCTGCCTGAGGGGTGTGATCCCAGGGGGCTCCTGCCAGGGGCGGTCACCCCAAGAGTTTGTTCTCTACAAGAAACTCCTGGCAGGGATGAGGCCCAGGCCCAGAGCGAAGCACCGTGAGGCCAGGAGCCAGAGCAGGGGTGGGGGGCAGCTGGAGGCTGTGCCCAGCACACGAAGGGGTGAGCATCTTCTCTTGGTGGGGGATGTTGAGCAGCTGCAGTGGGCTGACCAGACCTGACTGGTGGAGGTGCAGGTGGCGAGCACTGGAGGTGGCGGGGGGCACTGGGGGTTAGGTCCCAGGAGGTGGGCAAGACTTGCTTCTTCCTTTATCTGCCCTCCTCAGTGATCTGGGCAGCTGCCTGCAGGCAGGAGGAGAGGGGACCCCTCAAGGGTCCCCAGGCTGAGCTGTCTTTGCCCTGTGAAGCCTGAAGGAGCGTCCCTACCAGCTGCAGGACAGACACGCTCTGCCAGTCCCTGCGGTGGATCAGAAACCCCTTTGGGACCTCCTCCTGGGCTGCACAATCCATTTCCCTTTTATTCCACAATTCTACTTCCCAGAGAAGCCAGCTGGCCCCCTGCTGCTGACCTGGGCCCGTCCCTGCCCCAGCGTGGTGCCCAGCTGGGGTCTGAGACCCGGAGGGCAGAGAGGGGCACCCGGGCCTGCCCACAGCCCACGGGAAGCACTCACGAGGCGTGGTGGGAATGGTCAGGAGGCTGAGTCCTGGTTGGAGGTGCCAACTAGGCTGCAGGTGGCTGGGGCAGAGGCTAGAGCACCCTTCCCCGGGGCCCCAGCTCCTTTGCTACCTGGGGGTGCTGGCCCCCCACTCCATTTCCCACTGTCACTGGGAGACCCCTGAGTGTCATGCCTTAGTCTCCCCACTGGAGCTAACTGTAAGGGTCAGGACTGAGGTTGTGGGAGGGGAGTCCCAGAGGCCTGGACCTCAAGACACTCACCTGCATCAGTCCCTCTGACCCCACCCTACAGGGCCAGGCCGGGTCAGGTGCTGGGCCAGCGTTTGCCCTGGCAAGTGGGGAGGTCATCATCTGCAGCTGGGGTGGGATGGGGGGAGTTGTGTCTGGTGGGGCAGCCATGTCCCGGGTGTGGCTCCCAGAGGGAGTGGATGCAGGGGGTCCTGGTAGTGGGGGGGTCAGGAGTCCAGGCTGCAGGTGCAGATGGGGGGAGGGGCGCAGGGAGGTGAGGGGTCCCGAGGGCAGCAGCCCTCACACCTGCTTAGAGGTCAAGGTGCGGTGACTTCTCTAACTTCATCCCACCCTTATCTTGGCTCTCCTGTCCCCCAAGCCCTGCCTGGCCCCCCTTTACCTCCAGGCTTCGACTCTGCTGGAGGCAGACCCCCTCAAGGCCCTCACATTGACCCCTTGCTCCTCTGGCAATGCCGTCCCCATTGCACCCACTGCCCTGGCACTAGGGTGCGTCTGGCCAAGACCAGAGTTCCTGACTGGGCCTGGGGAGGCAGGGAGTGGGGAGGGCAGGCTCAGCAGATAATTGATTCTTATTTATGTGCTCCGTTTGATGGGTTTTCCTTGGGGGCTCCTGCTTGGGTCTGGGAAGGCAGGGCTGAGGCCTCTAGCTGTGGGTCCTCGTGGGGCAGGAAAGAGTCATCACCTGTCTGTCCTGGTGTCGATCTGCCCGGTCCTGTGTGGACGGGCTGGGTCCCTGGCTTGTCTCAGTGAAGGAAACAGGCCCACGTGTTGTCACCAGGGCTTGGAGCTGGGGTGACCTGAGGCGGGGAGCTGGGAAGGCACAGGCCACCACCCAGAGGAGGAGAGGGACACAGGTGCTGGTGGCAGGAGCCCCTCAGAGTTCAGAGCCAACTGACCCTCAAACCCTCTCCTGCCTTCCCACAGCAGCTGGGGCCTTTGTTGGGGACAGACAGCTCCGGCAGGGACACAGTGGCCCTCTTCTGAGGCCTGCACAGGTGCTGGTCAGTGTAGGGCCAGGGTCCCCACGATGGGGCCGGGGGTGTCTCCCGGGAGCCCCATCCATGTTCAGTACCCAGGAACAGGTGGGGTGTACCGTGTGATGCCAGGCGTGGGGTGAGGGTTTGGGGCTGTTCAGGCCCCTACGGTGACAGAGATGGAGGCCCCAGGGTCGGCGGGGAGGAAGGAGGTGCTCTTTCTGCCCTTCCCCTGCTCTGGGGCAGAGGGCTCAGGGCTCCCCCAGGGGCAGTCTTGGTGGCCCGGGGGTGGCCTGGGGGGGGGCCTGGGAGGAGGCGGGGCTAAGCCTAGCAAGGTCAGGGTGCTTCTGTGTCTCCCCCTTGGCCAGCTGCCCGACTCTTCCCAGATTCGGATCAGCCGAGCTGAGGGCCCCCCTCCTGCTGCTCCCCTGGCAGGTGTCCCTCCCTGCCCCCCTTCCTGCCCTAGGGCTGCGCGCGGCTCTGCCTTTCCCTGCACTTGTGGTCAGGGTCCCTCTGCATGGCTGGGGTGGGGGTTGGAGCCCTGCCTGCCTTTTCCTGCTGCCCAGGCCACCATAGGACTTTGGGTAAGTCCTGCCCTCCTTGGGGTCTCCTGGAGTCTCCCGTGCCCCAGCTGCACCCCAGGGGGGCCTGAATTTTCCCCTTTGATGAACTGCAGATGATGTCCGAGTGGGTGGCCTGAGTGGGTGGCTGTCACTGGCCCTTGGGCAAGGCTGAGACTGGTGGAGGAGAGGACACCTGGTGGCAAAGGGCCCCGTAGTGCTGGGGGCCATGACCTCCCCCCTCAGTCCTCCCTGCGGCTAGGAGGTCACAAGGCGGGGCCAGTGAGCATCCCAGACCCTGTGGCTCCTCTCGGCCACAGCCTCCTGATGGTGCTGGGCGCGTCCCCGTGTCCGGGTTCATTTCTTTCTGCGGTAGGGTAAGGCAGGGGTGGCCTGCTGCCTGCAAGCAGGGGTGGGCGGGCAGCCTTGCAATGGGCGGAGGGAGGGCAGGCAGATTCTGTGATGGGATTGGGTCTGGAGGGCACCAGGGAGTGGGGGGTGGGGGTGCTTGGCTGCCCTGGTCAAGGGTCAGGACACTCTCCTCCTTGGGGCCAGCAGCTGGCTGACAGGACGGACGGGGATTCGGGGCCTGGGGATGTTGGTCTGCTCTGTGGTGGCAGTACGGGTCTCCGGGTCCAGCTCGGCGACAGAGCCCTCCCTCCCACGGCGGGGGCGGCAGGCAGAGGCGCTGATGCTGGAAGCAGGTGTGTGTGTGGCTGAGCGGGTTGCTCCCCAATAGGTTGGGGGTGGCAGCGGTCAGTTAGGGGGCCCCAGTGAGACTCCCCAAGAGTCTCATGGTCCACCGGCTGAGCCAGCAGGTGCCCCTGCTGCTGTGGTTCTTGTCTGTCCCCTGGATGCCCCTTTGTGGTCCAGTGAGCTCCTCCTTGCCCTCAAGGGTGGACTTGGACCTTCCTGAAGCTGCCGGCCAGGGCTGTTCTGTTCCCTGCCCAACCCCTTCTCCGTGGACACTGGCTTCAGGGGGTTCTGTCAGTGGGGCTGTTTCCCTGATGGGCTGGGGCTGGTGTCCTTGTGTCCGAGCCCTGGGGGATCAGTGAATCGGGCTGATGATGGCGCAGGGGCTTGCTGGCGTTTAAGAACATGAACGGCAGGCAGTTGCGTAGATTTTCAGTGAACGGCCAGGTGACACCATCCGGGCAAGGAAGGGAACATTTCTGTCAGCCTGGAAGGTGGCTGAAGCCCCTTTGCTCAGTCTCCCTGACTCCTGCCTTGGGGCCCGGCAGACACATTTTGCCCTTCCTGAACGTGTACAGATGGGGTCCCCTTGTGGCTGTTCTCGGCTGGGAGGGGTGAAACACCTTGCCATGCCCAGCCCCCACCCCAAGGCTGTGCTGGCTGCCAGGCAAGGGGCTTCTGAGCACAGGCTTGGCCCCTGCAGGCACCCAGCCCTCCACTGTGTTCTGAGGACGTGGCCAGCTGTCCCGCCATCTGCTGGCCGGAGGGGCAGTGGCAGAGGGCCACCTGATACCTGCCCCTTCTTGGGCCTGGGGGCGCGTTTGGCATCTCAGACCGTGTGGTCCCTATACCCGCGGCCCTAGGCCAAATCGAAAAATGCACAGACAAAAAAAAAAGGACAGCAAGAATGGGGGGGCACAAGCCAGGCACTGGCCTGGGGCTGGTGACAGGTGAGGACAGAAGATAAGGCATGTGCTCGAGGTGCACGGGAGGGGCTCAGGGAGGCCACAGATGATGGCAGGGCAGGGATGGGGGTCCCCAACGGGAGGGCTGGGCCCGTCTCTCAGGCGGTCAGGGGGTCTGCTCCTGCTCCTGGGACCCAGCTGGGCTTTTGTGTGGCTGGGAGGAGAGTCCAGCCAGTGCCCCAGGCAGTGAGAGAGTGGGGCTGGACAGCCGTGGGGTTGGGGTGGCGTCCCGGCCTCCCAGGAACTTCAGCCCCACTTAACCTGTGTTTGATGTTCTGTGTCTGAGTCTAACGGGCCTTGCTTTTTTCCTGCACTTGGAAGCTGTAATTTTCCTGCCAAAATGTTTTAAAAGCTGCATATGCAGAAACATTTTCAAAATTACAGGTAATTTTATTAACTGTGTGCATGCATTCTGTTACTGTGTGTGTCTGAGTTTATGGTGACTGGTCTGTGCAAACAAGCTTGAACATGGAGGGCCTTGGGGCTTGTGGGCAGGACAGGCCATAGGGCAGCATGTCTGTGACATGAGCCCGTGCAACACGGTGCCGGCGAGGGATGCCCGTGGCAGCGGGGCGTGTGTGTGTCCCAGTGTAGGTCTCTCCTGACATCTCAGGGTGGAGGTGGGACATCGTGTACAGAGTTAATTAAGGAAGTCCGTTTCCACCAGTGCTGGGGGTGAGGAGCCCCTTCCTCGTCCCCTGGAACCTGGACTGGTCCCCACCCCCACAGCCGCTCTGCTCCCCATGTCCTCCCCATGCCCTTCCATGTGTCCCCGTGGGATGAGGGAGCTCAGACGGGCTCATTTTCCTGCTGACAGGAGCTGTCCGCCGACGTCCTTCAGGCAGACAGTCCGGTTGTAAAGAACGAGTCATTGTCTGCTCTGCTCAGGGACGTGCCGCAGGAGACGGCCCCACCCACCAAGGCCCCATCCTGGGGGCTCAGCTCAGAGACGTGACTGGCTCAGAGTGGGGGCTGCATGAATCAGTGGGGGACAGGCTGGCGTGAGGCCTGGGCATGGCAGCCGGTCACTGTGTCCCTCCCCACGGGGAGGTGGCCCACCCTCACGCCCTCCCTGACCCGGGTCCCTCCCTGGTCCTCGGCCACGGTGTCCCTTCTGTGTGCAGCACCCCACTGGGCAGCCCCAGCTTCAACCTTCCCCTGGGGCTTTGGAGATCCCAGAGGCAGTGGGCACACTGTGGGGACACGGTGTCCCTACAGGCATGGGGGGGCGCATAGCTCCAGAAAACCCCCCGGCTCCCAGTTTCTCATCTGCAGGTTTGGTGGGAGGATCGAATGAGCCAGAGCCTGTCCCAGCCTCTTCTGTGCCCCATGATGTTGAGTGGTGCCTCCCACAGGTGGGCGTGGGGTGCCCAGAGGCGCTGGGTGTCCCCTGGGCCACCCCGCCTGGGGTCAGCACCTCGGACAGTGCCAGCACCTTTGGTGGAGGGCCTGCCTCCATCCTGCAGGTGGGGCTGCACACACATCTCCATAACTGCCCCAGGACTGTGCCCAAGCGCAGCTCTGCAGTGAAGACGTCACCTGTCTGTGTCCCCCCCCCCCCCCCCACCCCCCCTCGCTGGACAGCTGGCTCCTCACACTGGGTGCACACCCAGGGCCCAGAGGCGATCCAAGCCACTCCTCTGGGTGGGTGCCCCTGCTGGCCTCCCACCTCTGAGCCTCGTCTGGGCAGCCTCCCCTGGTGTCTTGTCATGGCCCTGCGTTTGGAGATGGCCTCACAGGAGGCCATAGGCAGAGGCTTTTGTCACCGTCCATGGTGGGCCCTCTGGGAACTTCCAGGGCCATGTGGTCAGTGCCCTGCACCAGGGTCCCCCTAACCTGGTACCCTGCCCCTTGCCTGAGCTGCAGACCCCCACCCTACTCTGGGGAGGGGCTCAAGCAAGCAGGACGACCCCAGCTTCCTGGACCCTGCCCTGAGCCAGCGGCATTCAAAAGAGGTGTTGTTTATAACTTTTAGACCTCAGTTTTTGTTTCTGTGGAAGGTGCAAAGAGGGGCAGGGGGGCCAGAAAGGACCCGCATGTTCACCCTGGGCTGACTGGACGCCCACTGGATGGTGGTAGGCATTTCAGCTGGGGACTCTCCTGCCCTTGGCAAGGCCCAGAGGGATCCCAGATGCTGGTAGGCCTGGGCCAGAGCCCCTGGTGTCTGCCCACATCCCGGGAGCCATAGCCCCTAATGCTCTTGGGCTGGGAGCTGCATCCCCCCCACCCCCATAATTGCAGTCTCGGGCCAGCCTGGCTTAATGCATGGTGTGCACACTCCCCAGCGGGTTATGGAGAGACGAGTGGTGGCCCCACCCCCACCCCAGGGCCAGGTTGACTGGCCGGTGGGGGGAGGGGCGAGCATGTGCATATGGGAAGATGTGGCCTCCTTGGGCAGGGGTCTCAGAGCCTGTGGGGCCTGCTGGGTCATGGGGTCCCTGCCAGGCTTGGGGAGCCAGGCCAGTTGTTGGGGAGGCATTGTGTGTGGATGGCCCTGGCTCCCCTTGGCTCAACTGACTGGGCGCGAGGCTCATTTCCCAGCCTCAGTTTACTGCTCTGGGAAATGGGGTGGGAGTCTGGCCATCTAGGCTCAGGAAGCTTTTGTGGGTGATGCAGGCCTGGATGCGGTATACCCTGGAGTCTGTGACCTAGCCTGTCCTGGGCATGAAGGGTGATCACTCCAAGGGCTGGGTGTCGTGCCCAGGAGAGCCCTGGGGGCTGAGGCCATGGGGGCCAGGCCAGATGGCGAGGAGTGGGGAGGGCTCCCCAAAGCCGCCTAGCTTTCCCCAGAGCCCAGCAGGTGTTGGTCGCCAAGTGGTCTCACTGAAGCCCAGGTTTTGGGGGACCAGGTCAGCGTTTGTGGGGCTTGCTGCCCCCAGCCTGTACCTGTTTATTCCTGGGACCACCCAGAGCCTTGGCCCACCCCTGCTCCCCCAAGGCTGGGTGTCCCTGTCACCAGGCAAGGCTGAGGGCCCGCACTGGGTTCTTCACCACTGTGCCTTCTCGCCCTTCTTCCTCTCATTTTAATTGTGTTTGTAATAAGGAACAACTATGAAATTCAGTAAAAGTTCCAGTGGTTGAGAGGGAGGGGCAGCAAGGGCCAGGGACGAGGTTTTTTGTTCTGTCCTGTGCTGGCATCCATGCCGGGGCCTGGTGGGTGCCCTGGGGCTTGTGCTTAGAAGGGGCAGCTGGGGACACCAGGGGGGCCCATGGGGATTGTGGCCACCCACTGGAAGGTGGTTTTAGGAAGAGGGGAGCGTGTGGTCCAGCCAGGTCTCCAGGGGCCATCTCCCTGACTCTCAGGTCCAGATAGGCTGTGGGGTAGGTGCAGGCCAGGCTCCGGGGGAGAAGGGGATGCTTCCTGAAGGGTTGGTGTTTGGGGGGCGCCCTAGGCCCCCTGCCCAGGCTGCCTCACCATGTCACTGGGACAGGGGCAGGCACCCCATTCGTGACCCGAGTGGAGAGTGTCCTCAGACCACATCCCCCCCACGGCCATAGGTGCGGACCTTGGGGTCCCCCTTACTGTGGCTGTGGGGGAACCGGCTAGGACAGGAATGGGAGGGGTGACTGGCCGTGGAGGTTGGCAGGGTGGGCGAGGGTGCACGGGGCCCGTGGGACGCCGCTCGGGGTGGCCGCAGGGGCCTGCTCTGGGGTGGTCTGGGATGTGTGGATGGTGGCCTCACTGCCCTCTCTCCCCCCCCCGGCGGTCCCAGCTGGGAGGCTGCGGCATCCTGGGCGTTGGCATCTGGCTGGCTGCCACCCAGGGGAACTTCGCCACCCTGTCGTCCTCCTTCCCATCCCTGTCGGCCGCCAACCTGCTTATCGTTACCGGCACCTTCGTCATGGCCATTGGCTTCGTGGGCTGCATCGGGGCCATCAAAGAGAACAAGTGCCTCTTGCTCACCGTGAGTGCCCCCCGCACGTGGGCTTCACCTCTGGGGCCTCTGCTCCCTAGCTGTGCTGACCCCGCAGGGCCAGCAGGTCATGGCCTGTGGCAGCCCCGGGGGGCCTTGCTGGGGCCGTGGTGGGTTGGGGGTGGGGGCTGCTCGCCCAGAGCTTAGTGGAGGCCTCCCTTGACAGGACACATGTCCTGTCACCCCCGACACGAGTGCCAGGCGGGACCCCTCCAGCCAGTACTGGGCCTGTTTGCTCTGCAACCACCCTTCCTGGGAACCCCTCCCCAGCTCCTGTCCCAGGACCCTCTGTTGAGAGGCTCACAGTCCCCACCTCTGCCTTGGAGACAGATTGACAGGCAGGATGTGTTCCCATCTTTAGGAACGTTAATCACAGATAATTGAGAAGGGGAAGGATGCCCGGGGTCAGGCTCTTCACCTATGTCTGGCAAAGGCCTCCAGCAGCTTCAAGTCCTAAATCACCCCTTCAAATTGATCCTGAGGAGCCCTTGCCCAGGGTGGGGCCTCGGAGGGCATGTCCCCCAGTCCGTGCAGCTTCCCCAGGTGTTCAGCACGTTCCAGATGCTCCCATCAGGGCCTGGGGCTCCGATCCCTTGGAGCAGCAGGTGGGGGTGTGGCTGGGTCCCCAGCTGCCCCGGGGAAGGAAGCTGTAGTGTGTGTGTGGGGGGCCCAGCCCCAGCCTTCCCCACAGGGAGACTCGGGAGTCAGAGCCTGGGGCCTGCTGGGGGCATCCTGGGCCTGGGCTGAGGGAAGGACAGATCGGGGGCCCCAGGAGAGGACAGGGCGCGCTCCCTCCGCCCGGGCCCCATTCCTGTCTGCAGGAAAGGCGGGGTGGATGCAAGCCATCTCTGCTGCTCCACTGGCCTGGGACGTCTATGGCAGGGTCGGGGCTGTGCCTCTGGGGGTGCTTGAGTGGGAGTCTGTCACCCAGCAGGCAAGGTTTGTGCAGTCGGGTGGGGCTTCTCAGGCTCCTGGTGGCTATTCCCTCACCGTGGTCTTTCCCGAATGGCTGTGCTCTGGTGGCTGTGACCCCCAGGGTTCAGGGTCATCACAGGCTGACCTCCTCCCCGCCCACCACAGGGACACAGGCACAAAGCACATGTGTGCCGGCAGGTGTGAGTCTTGTGCTCTGTGGTCAGTCGAGCAAGAGCCCCTCCGGGGGCTCTTCCGAGGGAGGTGGGGCAGCATGAGGGTGGTACGCTGCTCTCTGGGGGACGGAGACCTGGTGTGTGTTCCGGCAGCACTGGGGCATCTGTCCGAGGTTCGCGGGGGGCTGGGGGGCAGCTGGGGGTCGGGGCGGCCAAGTCACTGAGGCCGGGTCTCCTCTGCAGTTCTTCGTGACGCTGCTCCTGGTGTTCCTGCTGGAGGCCACCGTCACCACCCTGTTCTTCACCTGCACTGACAAGGTTCGGCCACCCCGCCCTCCCCGGCGTCGGGTGTGGGGGCTCTGATCTCACCACCCGGCTGGGGGCCACCGCGCTGTGGTGACAAGGGTGCAGGCAGGGCTGGGAATGGCGGTCACAGGCCCCATGCTCGGTGCGGGTGGACAGCGGCCCCTGCCATCCACTCACTGGAAGACCTGGCTTTAACCACAGCCACCAGAGGCCGGGCCTGGAGGGGGACACCAGCAGCCTGGAGGTTCGGGGAGGTTTCTGGCCCTCTGAGAAGTGGGGGTGCAGGGGCACGGTGCTGTGCTCTGGCTGAGCTCCTTACTGTCCTGGACTGCCTGTCTCCTGGACAGGGAAAATCCCCTGTCCTCATTTACTTACTAACATGACTGATGGCTCGTTTACATGTGTTTTAGACTCTGGGTTGTACCCTAGACCTGTGTTCCTTATTTTGCTCACATTTTTGCACCTCTGCCCGTTGGGAGCTCTTGCTTGGCACCTGGGTCCCTTCGGCATCCTCCCCTCGGTGTGCATTTTGGCGCTAGACGGCCCCCAGACCTAGCTGGGCATCTCCTGCCCCAGCCCTGGAATCAGCCTTTTCTCCAGGAGCCCTGGTTCCTTCACTGGAGGACGGTCTGGGGAACCAAGTTCCGGGGGCCGGCGTGCTCCTCGCCACTGGGGCGTCGTAGCTTCTGGGCCCCTCAGCGGACAGACGGAGCCGTGTACTCAACAACCTGCGTGTACAGACCGCGCTCGGTGTTTCTGTACATGTCTGTCCGTCTCTGTACCTGAAGCTGAGGTGGTGGACTCAAGTGCCAGCCGGTGTTCAGCACCACAGAGGGCCCAGGGGTGGGGACAGGCAGGGGCAGTCCTGGGCCTGGGCACAGGGATGGGGGCTTCTGGGAGGAGGGGATGCCAAGGAGGGGGACAGTGGGCACAGGGTGCCTGGGGGGTCTGGATGAGGGAGGTGGAGCTGGCCGTGGGGGTGGCCCGGCTGACCCCTCTACACTTGCAGATCGACAGGTATGCCCAGAGGGACCTAAAGAAGGGTCTGCACCTGTACGGCACCCCAGGCAACGTGGGCCTCACCAACGCCTGGAGCATCATCCAGACCGACGTGAGTCTGTGTGTGCGTGTGGAGGCAGAGGGGACGCGGGTGTGCCAAGTAGGGGGCAGGGCCCACCCGCCTGCTCCCCAACCATCCCAGCCCTTGCGCCTGTCTGTAGTTTCGCTGCTGTGGGGTCTCCAACTACACCGACTGGTTCGAGGTCTATAACGCCACTCGCGTGCCAGACTCCTGCTGCCTGGAGTTCAGTGAGGGCTGTGGCCTTCACGCGCCTGGCACCTGGTGGAAGGCGGTGAGCACCTACCCTCCCCGTGCATCTGGGACCCAGGGGTGGAGGGGGTGGCCTCGTGGCCCCTGTGACATGTGCCCTTCCTCCAGCCGTGTTACGAGACCGTGAAGATGTGGCTCCAGGAGAACCTTCTGGCTGTGGGCATCTTTGGGCTGTGCACGGCGCTGGTACAGGTACGCTGGGCGGGGCCTGCCTCAGGAGCCACCTGGACCCACCCCAGCCCCCCACCTAGCAGCCTAGCTCACCAGCACCCGGGTGGAAGTGCCTTGAGCCCACGTGGCTGAGAGGTGGGGTTTGAGGGATGGTCCAGGGCTACTCCACGGGGAGGTGACCTTTGACAGGTCAGGGACAGGCAGGCCAGCCTTGTTCCTGCAGCCCAAGCCTGGCAGCTGTGGTGGGTGGTGGTCACGGGATGGCTCAGTGCAGAGTGAGGGTGGGCAGCCCAGGCCCTGTGTCCCTGATCCTGGCTTCCCAGCCCCCATGGAGTCCTGCATGTCAGCACCCTGGGGGAGCTCGAGGCCAGTGTGTCAGTAAACTCGGACGTCAGGGCAGCCCCGCTCCTGGGCTACAGAGGTAGATGGGGGTCACAGCCAGAGCACACAGACACTGTCAGAGGCTATCACAGTTGGATGACAGGCAGGTAGGGAGGGGCATGGAGCTGATGGGCCCTGAAGCCACCAGCAGAACCACAGTGGCCACACTGAAAGGCAGGTCTGGGGGCCAAGCCCTAGGAGTCCCCAGGGTGCCCCCTGTGCCAAGGCTCAGGGGGATGTGGCTGGGCTGGACCTGAATTGCCAGTCGGGGGAGGCCTCCCGAGAAGTGGGGTACAGGCTGTCCAGGGAGGAAGCTGTGGGGTGGGGTCCGTGGGCAGGACCCCTCTGTGCTCGTGGTCTCCTGGAGCAGTCCTGCCCAGCCCCCTTGTGTCCCCACAGATTTTGGGTCTGACCTTCGCTATGACCATGTACTGCCAGGTGGTGAAGGCGGATACCTACTGTGCGTAGGCTGCCCACTGCCTGCCACCTCTGCCTCACAGCCCATGGGGGAGGTGACCATGTCCCCACCTGCCTCTCCTGCTCAGGACTCAGCACCAACCCTGGATGCCCCCACCCTCGGACCCTCAGCCAGCCCTGCAAACACCGTGCTGGAGGAGGTCGCCAAGTGCTGGCAATGTGGGCAGGGCTGGGGGTGGGAGGAGCTTTTCATACCCATGTATTCTCCAGAGCAGCGCTCCCCGCGGCTGGGGTCATTCACGGGTGGGGGTGGGGGTGGGGGTGAAGGGCTGACCGCTGGTCCTGGTGCTCAAGGTGGGGCTGTAGCCCCACCGTCCACATTCCACAGCCGAGCCAGTGCAGGCTCTGGGTGCATCTTAATAAAGTGCGTGGGTAACAGCCCCCACCCCAGTGTCTGTTGCTGCCCTGAGCCTCTCGGGGGGTGGTGCCCAGACAGACCCTGTGTGGCCATGGGCCCCCCCACCGTATGCCCAGTGCCTGCAGTGGGGCTCCTGCATATGCACGGGGCCAGCCACCAAACCTCCGTGAAATCAGACACAGGAAGTGGTGCAGAGGTGCCTCAGGACGGCCCTGCGCCTCTGACCCCCCTCCATGTAGCCCCAGGGCGTTGCCTGTCCCCAGGGGTCTCTGTTCCTGTGAACTTGGCCCCCGAATTGTTCCATCTGTATGGATTCTACAAATAAAATGGGCTGTCAGGAGTGGAGCAGGTACCTCTGGTGCATAAACACTGGGTCTCCTGAGATGGGACTGACGGGATGAGGAAGCCGTGGGTCTGGGGCTTCAGGTTGGGGGATGGGCCCCTCCCGGGAGACTCACTAGCCCCCAGCCTCAATTTCCAGCCCTCCTTCCTGCCGGCTCCAAGGTGTTGCCCTCTCTCCGGCCCACCTGGGGATGCCCAGCCCAGCACTGACCATGGCCACAGACACAACCCAGACTGCCAGTGTGCACCCAAGCCCACCAACACCACCTGTCTTCACTCCATGGAAACTACCAGATCACTGCAGTTAGTGATCTCAGGGCACATGGTTAACGCCCCCAGACCAAACTGTTCCTCACCTACCAGCAGCAAACTGGAAAACCGGCAGAACGGTCGCACATCCAGCAAAGCAGTCCCCATGTAACGCCCACCAGTGTCCAGAGAGCCCGCCTGCTAGGACCCGGGCCCCCCAGTTCGTGCTTTTCTCCAAGCATGTGTGACCAAAGACAGACCTGCCCCAGGCTTGGTCGCTCCTATGTACCCGACGTGCAAGCTCTCACTGGACCCATGGGAACGGCATGCAGACCTGGGACCCTTTCCGCCCACAGCCTCCTATGTGACCCCTCAGACTCCAGCCCTGACTCAACTTCCACCATGGCCCTCGAGCGGCTTTTGTGCCCCGGTCCACCAAGGTCCCTGCCCTCCAGTACAGATCCCCACCTGTTGCCTCTGCTTGCTTCCCAGGCTCACTGTTCTCAGTGTGGGTGCCCCTGGGCGTCTGACCACCCTCCCAGCCCCCGCGGGTCCCACCTTCCCATGCACACCCAGCATGTCACCTGCTCGCCTCCCCATCTAACACCAACTCATACTGTGAGCACCCCAACTCCTGAACAGACTTCCAGACACACTAGAGCCCAGCACCCCAGCCCTGGTGCTAGGGCTCCTGGCTCCCTTCTTGCCCTGGCCTCTGAAGCTGGGACAAGAGGCGTGCCGGCCTGTGCCTACAGCTCCATCCTCTGCTCCTGCCCACTGCCAGGGTGGCCGGTGTGGGGCTGGGGGAACCCCATGCTGTGGCCCCACGTGCCAACCCACAAGCAGACAGGCATACACACAAACACGTGCACACACGCGTCCATAGTGGCTGCGCACACGGACTTCTTGTGACGGCTCCGCTTCACCCCCACACCCCCTCTCCGTCCTTCTATTCAGGCCCAGACTCCTCACCCACACCAGCAGGCCGTCCCGCCCCCCCACCCCCCCGAGCAAGTCTGCGGCTTTGGGAGAGGGGGTGGCTGGCAGGGCCTGTCCCCCTCAGAACAGTGGGGTTCTTCCGTGGGGCCGCTCCAACAGGGCACTAGCGGGCCCTGCCCCTCAGAGCCCTTCCCGCTTCATGTCCCACAGCAGGAGAGCAGGGAGCATGGCCTCCACCCCAGGACTTGCAGCGTGGAAGCCCAAGTGCTTTGGGCAGGGCCCCAAGCTCACACACAGCAGCTGAGCAGTCATTCGGGGCTGGCTCCGCGGACAGCACCAGGCCCTGGACTGGCGTGCTTACCGAGGGGGCTCTGCTGCTCACAGCCTGCAGGCCCACGGAGCTCAGTGGCTGGGAGTGGGGGCCAGGTGTCTTTGGCTACTGGCAATACCAGAGTCTCTCCTGATGTTTCATCCCAGGAGCCTGGCTATGCCCGTGGGCAGAACCCAACCGCCGAGCCCACTGGCACCCACGGGCTCGCACGGTTCCTTCTGCGGGATAGGAACAGCTTCTCTGAGTTGGGCTTTGTACAGTGGCCCCCACCCCCTCGCTGGGCAGGCCGGGCCAGCATGGGCAGTGAGAGGCCGAGGCCCCTCAGCACAGCCCCGGGGTCCACAGGGGAGGGGAGAGAGCCCGGTCCTGCCCCTACCCCGCCTGGCGGCAGGGGCCTGCGTCGTCTGGGCAACCTGGCCAGGACGGCCCCACCCCACATCACTGGTGAGGAGGCCTGGCTCCCAGGACCCCTCGGCCACCTCGAGGACCGCAGCAGAAACTGAACGGAAAACAGAGAAGAGTCTGTATTTCACTTGTGAACTGGTCACTCCATCGCTCAGGAAAGCACACATCCGCTCGTAGCCAGGCCTAGAGCAGGTCATAGAAGTAATCCAGGCCCTGGCCCAGCTCCCACATGGACACTCCGACGCCCAGCTCCCGGGCCAGCTCCAGCCGCACCTGCACAGACTGCAGGCCCACGGGCAGGCGTTAGCCCCACCTCTCACCCCTGGGGCAGCCCCAGTGCCGACACTGCTCACCAGGGCCTCACTGAGGACAAGGGTCCTTGTGGGGAGGGGTTGTACCTGCTGCCCCCACCCCCAGCATCAAGGCTGGCCCACACATACCTTCAGAGTTGGGTAGAAGACCATGTGCCTCCCACCACGGCTTCTGCAAAACATGATGAGGCCTTCTGCCTCCTCCCAGCCTCTGCTTCTCCCGGCCCCCCCCCCCCCAAATGGAAGGGCATGCTGGCCCCGCCTCCCCTTCCAGCAGAGGTCTCCATCCTGTTGGAAAGGGCCCTCCATGGGTCCCACTCCTTGGGCTGGCCCAGCCCTCAGGGGCGGTGCTTGAGCTGGTGGCCCAGGGGGCCCTTGGCCAGCCTGGGCAGGCACACCCCTCACCTAGGGCCTCCTCCTGGACACTCACTTCTTGTACTCGAAGAAATGCTCTGCTGCCTGGCTGTCCCACACGATCCGGGGCCTGTGGTCCTTCAGCATCTGGATGTACCTGCAGGAGGCCGGGCATGGGTGTAGGATTCCCAAGACCGCCTGAACACCTGGAGGGGCACGGCACCTGAGGCTGTCACAGGCAGGGCAGCGGGACTCAGGGGGCCACCCCCCCGGTGTAGGCAGTGCCCGCAGCACGCCCGGCTGTGGGAGGGTCACGTGTGCACCCTGGACAGGGGAGCATAGGACGGGGCCTGGGACCCTCAGCCCTGGGCCCATGTGGGCTGAGGGCTCGTGTCCTCCCTCAGGGGTAGGGGAAGGACAGAGATGCTGACAGATGGCCCCTGAGACTGGAGCAGCGGCCCCGGCGGCACCCGTGGACTGTGCAGCTGAGTGTGGGACGGCACCAAGGCTGGGTGTCCCGAACAGGCCTCCTGCTGTGTCCTCTCTGCCCCACGAGTGTCCACGTGGACGGAGTGAGGGCACGTGCATTCGGAGGCAGAGCAGGCGCTCATGGGGACTGCTGAGTGTCACAGGAGAGGCAAACTCACAGCATGTGGCTCAGCGGTCACTGGTCACCCGGGGGGGTGGGAGCTGCTAAGAGGGTCCAGGGTTTCTTTTTGGGTGAGGAAAATGTGGAATTTGAGGTGCTGGCTGCACAACTGAATGCACAGAACACCCTGCATGGCGGGCTTGGCCACGCTGAGTTTGTGGGGTGTGAAGGAGGCCTCCCCCAAAAGTGGCAAGGCCTCAGATTGGAGGGTTCCGGGAAGGCCAGACACAGTCAGGGTGCATGAGTGCAGGACCCACCACAGCCAGGCAGGGAAGACCCCAAGGAGGGCGGGAGAAGCGCAGGGGCCCCCTGCTCCAAAGGGAACTAGCCTGTGGCTTCTCACCTTCCGTGGCGGGGCCTGAGGTCTCCCTGCACGCTACGCTGGGATCCCCACCCCGAGACTAGAGACACGCGAGGGGCTGGGTCGAGTCTAGGCCACCCATGCTGGACTGCTGCCAAGCTGCCCCAACCTCGGGAGGGGTCCCTGCCAGCCCACACCCCTGACCTCCCACTGGAAAGGGGGCCTGGGACCTGACAAACACAAAGGGTGGGACCACATGCCCAGTGGCCTCTCCTTGTTGCTGTTCCTGCTGCAGCCAGAGCCACCGTGCCCCACCCCCTGCCAACCGATAGCCCCCTCGGAGCGGCCCCCTGACCCAGCTTCCCCGATGGCCCTGCGACAGTCTTCTCAGGCTGGGGGTGGGCAGAGCAGGGTCTCTCTGATGTAGGGCCCCGCTCTGAGTCCAGCAGGTGCTGGGCCAGTTGCTTCTTGGGTGACATGAGGACCCTGGCCTGCAGGCCCCCCCCTCCCCCACAGGCAGCGGGCCCCCCCAGGGCTACCTTTCATGGGCAGGACACAACCACAGCAGAAGGCACCCGGAGCGCCGAGCCGTGACAAAGGGTGCCCTAAAGCCAAGCAAGGCACACAAGGAGGCCTGGGGCCGAGACAAGAGCAGGGTGCTTGGAGGCAGGACCCAGCAAAAGAAGGACGAAGACCAAGGTGCAGAGCTGGACAGGAAGTCGGCCCCGAGAAGCAGCCCAGGAAGGCCTCCCAGGGCCTGCTGGA